GCACGACAGCCCTGCGAGTGACTGGTGGCAGACATGGCCAATTGACATATATATCCCAAACACTCCACGGGACTGCCATGTATGCCGGCCCATTGACCCCCCAAACCATCCCAACTGATCGGCAGTCCTATGGCATACATGGAGTGTCTGGGTATTAATATAATAACCCTCCCGCAAACTAACATGGAACGTGAGAATTGACCGATGGAAGACAATTTTCCTCTACAACCAAGTGGTTTAGGGTTCCATGGTAATCTGCAGGGGAGTATAATATATGCCCAAATATGGATAGAAACGCTTTCCAATACATTCATAGTGGGGATTTATTTGTCTATCTATTTGGGGGTCTATATATATATATATATCATTGGACACATATTGCAAACACCGCGTGCCAATACGGAAAACTGTTTTCCACTTAGGGATGCTAGCACGCGTACGACAGTATCCACTCTCAAGTTTGTCTTTGGAACCACTGGTTACCTATCTCAAACACTCCATGTATGCCATATATGCCGATCAGTTGGGATGGTTTTGGGGGGTCAATGGGGCCGCATATACGGCATACGTGGAGTTTCTGGGTATACTAGACTAGATCCACTGGATCCACTAATTACATACAGTCTGCAGACCGTCTGCGGTCACTTGTCGTCCTCATCTCCATCCCCTCAGTACCAACCTCCAGACGTTCCAGGGGAAAGAGACCCGTCGACCCAGCACCCCGGGGCGACGGGTCGACAGGTCTGCACAGCCAGGGACCCAGGTCTGCCATCACACCGACCCAGGTCTGCAGGTCCGAGTCGGGCGCCGAACTTGGGTAGCTTATGGATCCACTGTCACCTTCTCAGAAGGTATTTGGGCCCTCCAAGCCTACATAAATGGTCTAAATCGCCAATGCCCTTCTCGGAAGGTATGTGGATCCATAGGGGCATCTAATAGGAGTGTCCCCGGTGTCCCCAATATCAACTCACTGGATGGGACGAAGCGGCAGCGCCTCGGCCTCCGCATGTTGCTGGACCTGCATTAGGTCCTGCACCGGTCCCGAAGGAAACAGCTCGGGCAAACCTGTTGAAGATGTGTTAGCTGTTAGCTTTCTTTTTGTGTGTGAGTTTTCAACTGTCTGTTGTTATTTACCATATAGACATACAGTATATATATATAGACTATGGATGGGGGGTCTGTTGTCAACAAAAAAACTCCCGTCAATCAGTTTAGCATCTTATAGCGGATTATACACTGTAGGTTTCGATGATTTTGTCTGGTGTTGCAGTTGCCCTTGAACTCGCCGCACCGTTCGTAAACACATGTCATCACTTCCATGTTTGTTGGGTCATCGGTGGCACCACCAGGCTCTGGCAGGCTCTGTCAGGTCCGGAAATCAACCCGCTGGGCGATGATCTCGACTCAGTTTGACCTTTGAAATCACCGCCCAGCACCATCCATCTCGCATGACGACCGAAAGGTGACATCCATCCACATGCGGTCCGGTAACATCTCGTGTGGCGGGCATACGAGGTACTCAAATGGATTTGTTGTTGGGTGGGTTTCTTTTTTGGGGGGGCCTGTGGGTCTTCTCAAAGGTTGACTTCTCCCTGGGTGCATGTAAATCTGATGGCATTTAGGAGGCATTTGTGGTGTGACTCTGCGGATAATCCTGGTTGTATCGGGCCGTGTAGACCTCCTCGATGAAGCTCACAAGCTCTGCCTGAGGACAACAGGTTGATCAAAGACTGTGACTAACCCTAGTGCTCCGCAAACTGTGACGACCAAGGACCTCCCTCCCATGGTTCTTTCACGGTGTTTCAGGAGCACATCAGGCCCACTCACGTTTGCCCACCTACTACCCTGCAAATCATGTATGCGCGCCTTGATCATCGTCTTTGGAGGCTGGGTGGCGCTGGGCAACAAGCCAGTGAAGGTCTTGAACCTGGAATTTTGGATGCAACAGTTGTGTTCACAACCCAAATCGATCCGCAAATCAACAAAACACCGGTGGGCCTAAAGAAAACAACCAGGAGAACACCATGTGTCATGTGTTCATCCTTTAAGAAGCGAAGAGGTGTGCATATCTTGCAAAAAAATGCATTTATGATTGTTCATGTTTGATCATTGTTGTGTTTTTAAAGAAACAAGTGAAATAAAGAAATGTACAACTTGTAGTTTTGTTATTTTTTAAAATGACTTGATTGATAACGGTCCCTGATTGGATTGTAAACCTCATCTGCGGGGTTAAGTAACCAAGAGTCTACAACAATCAAAGACTCCGGTGTAAGACTTGCTTCTTTCGGTCCCGGCGAAACCGGCCAAATACCTTGTTTCTGAAAGATCGGAAGTCCCAACGTCGCAAGGCGCGCTCGAAAGGATGGGGATTGGGACTTTCCAAGGCATCGATTCGATGGCATCGATGGTCAACATGATCGATGTCGATCATCACCTCAGTGACCTTGACCTCTACGTTTGAAAAAATTTACTGTACTATACTTCAGATCTATTCCAACCTCTCCCTGTGGACCCCCCAACATCCAGCAGCGTCCCCCGCCGTGTCTTGAGCTCCGCCACTGCAGCGTTGGCGGCTGCAGCCAGCGGGTCCGGTTTCTTGGGTTCCTGGAGGGAAAAACATGGCTCAGCGGCTGAAGGGTTTGAACCTCAAAGTGGTCAAAATGGGTTGTCTATAGTCAGGAATTTGGACACATTTGTGGAGATATCTTGAGATTTAGAAAGTGGAGATAAGTGGTGCACGTGGGACGTGGGAACGTAGGAAACAAGTCCTAAAGTTTTTGTTCCACCGGAAGTGTGGAATCGTCGAGTCTAGACCTCTTGATCCATCGCCGTGGTGATCCGCAAAAACGCAGTCATCGACCACATCAGCTGAGATATCACTGTCCTTACTTCCGTTCTTGTGCTTCGAAGGCAGCCCACCAAATCAACCATGCATATAGCCGAGGAAACAGCAATGAACAAAAATCGAGGTTTCATGATGTTTCGTGTTTTTTCGTCGGTAACCTGTGTTTTTTTGTGACGGTAACTGGTTACGGCGTTTTTTTGCGTCGGTGCTTCATCGGTGTTTTCTGCGTCGGTTCGTCGGTGCTCTTTGCGACGGTGAACGGTGATTTTTGCATCTGCAAACGGTGTTTTCTGTGTCGGTGGTGTCTTCTGCTACGGTATAACCGGTTCTGGGTCGGGAAGCGGTGTCTATTGCGACGGCTGCCTCCAAGCAGTGAGACGGCGACCAGTAGCACGACCAGTTGTATCCATACAACTAGTGCTGCTGCTACTACCACTACAGTACTAGTATGTACTAGTGCTGGTGCCAGTATCACCACTACCACCACTACGACCACTACCACTACCACCACTACCACCACCAAAACAACGACTAATGTTGGATCTTGATTAGTAACGGGCCCCCCCCATCTAAACAAATGGGAGGGCCTCTATAATAATGAGGACTCCTTCTGTAATTGATTGTAGTATTCAATTCCTTTCTCAGGTTCTTTGTAAGTAGGTATTCTCCGCAATCCTTTCATACTACTACATAAAGGATTGATTAAGGATTTTATGGCTTTGGGAAGCTGTGAGTTTAGAAGAAGAACTTGAGAAGCCGATACCTATCAATACTCTCAGCAAGCCAGCCATTGACTTAGTATTCACAGGTCTCCGAAGTGTTTGAAACCCTCATTATTTTCAGATAAAACACTTTAAAAAAAAACAGGGTATCCAGAACTATTTTCATAAATCTACCATTATAGAGCACCATCTTACTAATCAGCATCCCTACTACTACTACTACTACTACTACTACTACTACTACTACTACT